ACCAGTCCAAACCAGTCCAAACCAGTCCAGACCAGTCCAGACCAGTCCAAACCAGTCCAAACCAGTCCAAACCAGTCCAAACCAGTACAAACCAGTCCAAACCAGTCCAAACCAGTGCCCACTCACCGGGGCCCAGCCCATGCTGCGTCCAGCCAGGAAATACCCAGAGAGGCTCCGCCCACTGCGCCTGCGCAGGGCCTGCCAGTACGGACCAGTATAAACCAGTACGGACCAGTATAAACCAGTACGGACCAGTATAAACCAGTATGGACCAGTATCAACCAGTATAAACCAGTATAAACCAGTACAGACCAGTTCAGACCAGTTTGGGGCTCCCAGCCCCGCCCCCCCCCGCAGGGCATTGTGGGTAATGCTGAGCCCCTCCCCCACCCGGGGCCAGCGGGGGCACAAAAACAGCCCCGGGGTGGGGGAGGGGCGGGGGGCTGGGAGGGAATTCCGGGAATTCCGGACGGGGATTTGGGGGAATTTGGGGGATTTTGATGGAATTTGGGGGGATTTGGGGAGGATTTTTGGGGGAATTTTGGGATTTGGGGGGATTTTGTTGTGATTTTTTTGGGGGGGATTTCCACGATTTGGGGTTTTTGGGGGGAATTTTCAGGATTTTCGGGATTTTGGGGTGAATTTTCAGGATTTTGGGGTGGATTTTCGGGATTTTGGGGTGGATTTTCAGGATTCTCAGGATTTTGGGGTGGATTTTCAGGATTTTGGGGTGGATTTTCGGGATTTTGGGCAGGATTTTCGGGATTTTGGGGTGAATTTTCAGGATTTTCGGGATTTTGGGGTTTTAAGGTTGATTTCTTCGGGATTTTGAGGTCAATTTTTGGGATTTGGGGTTCTCAGGGCTGAATTTTCAGGATTTTAGGGATTTGGGGGTGAATTTTCAGGATTTTTGGGATTTTGGGGTGAATTTTCAGGATTTTGGGGTGAATTTTGGGATTTTGGGGTGAATTTTTGGGATTTTCAGGATTTTGGGGTGAATTTGGGGGATTTTGGGGTGGATTTTCAGGATTCTCGGGATTTTGGGGTGAATTTTGGGATTTTGGGGTGAATTTTCAGAATTTTCAGGATTTTGGGGTGAATTTTCGGGATTTTCGGGATTTTGGGGTGAATTTTCGGGATTTTGGGGTGGATTTTCAGGATTCTCAGGATTTTGGGGTGAATTTTCAGGATTTTGGGGTGAATTTTCAGGATTTTCAGGATTT